AGTTGGTTTTCTCCCTCCATTGTGTAGATCTTGGAGACCAAACTCAAGACATCAGGACTGAGCAGGAAGTTGTCTACCTATTTGAGACAGAGCATTTCCTTGTAACCCAGGATAGCCTCATACTCTGGAGCAACCCTCTGGCATTATTTTTAAGTGGTATGATTATAAATAAACAATGCTATACTGGCTGGGCTGACCCCCCGCCCCCAGGACTCAGTTCTATAGACATTGCCTTTTGCCTTGCTTGACTGCTCATTTCTCACTGTCAGGACAGACAGACACCACACTGTGAGCTGCCCTGTGGTCCTTGTGTTAAGGACCTGAGAACACTCTCTATACACAGCCAGGGACAAGCCCAACCATCTGTTAAGTTTGATAGCAGCTCCACCCCAACTCAAGCCTTGGTGAAACCCTAGCCTCAGCCAGCAGTGGGATTCATCACAGTTCTAGCTCAGACCTTGAACCAGAAAAGCAGCCAACACATGCTCATTGTTTTACACTGGAAGACTTAGAAGGAATCTGTTGTATGGCCATTCCCAGCTCATAGACAAGGATAATGGTCAGATCATCATTGTAATGTCAGCATTTGACACAACAAACTGTTCATCAGCTGAGGAGTAGGTAAATGACCAGGATTCAGTCTGCAGTGGGATACTCTGTCACCATTAAAATGCAGGAGAAGCCAGGTACAGTGGAAGTATTCTTGATGCAGAGGCGGGTGAGTATCTGAGTTCAAAGCCAGGATGGTCTATAGAGTGAATCCCAGGACAGTCATTCGTATTCAGAGAAACCCTCTCATGTAAATAGCCCAGACAAAAAAGATTGCAACCCTAACAAGAATGTCAGGTGTGACCATTGAGGAATTGTGGCATTGAAGACAAGGGAGGTGGGGGGAGGGCACCCAGAGGACAAGGGTCCTACTATGAGCAGAGTGATCAGCAGAAGGAGTTTCATCCTGAGTGTGTGAAGAACTCTCTTTATAGGTCTGTATGTAATCCTAACACTTGGGAGGTTGAGGCAAGTCTTGACTAGAATGTTGAGTTGGAGGACATCCAGGCCCAGAATTATATACTACTGTAAAATAATAATAATAATAATAATAATAATAATAATAATAATAATAATAATAATAATGGCTGGAGAGATGGCTCTGCAGTCAGGAGCACTTGATGAGCTTGTGTGAGATCCAGGCTCAGATCCAGCAGCCATGAGGCAGCTCACAACTGTCTATGACCCCGGTTCTGGAAGATCAGACGCCTCCTCTGGCCACTGTAGGCACTGCTCACACTCAGTTTACAGACACACATGCAGGCAAAGGGTTCATATACATAAAATAAAAGTCAATGTTTTTTAAAAGGAAAAGAAAAATCACATTGTCACGGCACCTTAGGCCCAAGGAAATGGGTGCCAAGGCGATATGGCAGAAACAAGAAGGGGCTTCATTGGCTGAGAAGGTGACTGTAGTGGAATTTTTTTCAAGGAGTCATCTGAGTTGACCTAGAGGGTAAAAGTGCCAGCTGTTGTGAACATGGGGTGAGCAGGGAACCCCAACCCACAGGCTATTAGACCCCAACAGGAACCCCAAACCAGAACTTCAGGTGTGACCAGCAGGGCCTGACATTGAAGACAAGGGAGATGGGGGCACACAGAGGGGACAAGGGTCCTTTCTGTGAGCAGAGTGACCAGCAGAAGGAGTTTCATCCTGAATGAGGGGAGGACTCAGTGACTTCTCTTTAGAGTCCTGTGGCTGTGCTCTGACAGTGTCCAGTCAGCACATGGGGCCTGTGACTACTGTGTGTGTAGCACAGAAGTAGAACATGTGCACCCTCACACACAGTCCCGACCTGCAGAACTGCTGTAGATGGTGACAGAGCCTGAATCAGTGCTGTCCCAGAGGCACAGAGAGAGGGCTAGCTCAACACCCCAACCAGCTCAAGTCAGTGACTGGCAAAGTGCCAAGTCCCTCCCCCATGGATGCTCTGAGGTCATAAGAAGATATATATATTGCTCCTGGGCTTGGGTCTGAGGGATGCTGATAGTGATGTGTATGGCCACAGGTAAGAGTAGCTGTCTGCAACAATCCTCCCTGTTAACTGTCTAAACTACATGCTAAGTCTGTCCCAAGAACCTGACACAGCCTATGAGGTAGATCCAGTTACATATTCAATCCTTAATTAATTAACCAATTATTAATGTGTGTTGTTTGTGTGAAAGAGAGACAGAGACAGAGAGACAGACAGGGCACTTGTGTGCACATGTGGCGGTCAGAGAAGAACTCTGTGGAGTCAGGTCTCTCCTTCTTCTTTAAATGGGGTCCAGGAATCAAACTCAGGTCAAGAGACTTGTATTGTAGGCTAGATCTTACTAATCCACACACTTCATTAAAAACTAAAAATGTAGGCAGATGGTGGTGGTGGTGGTGGTGGTGGTGGTGGTGGTGGTGGTGGTGGTGGTGGTGGTGGTGGAGTGCATGCATTTAATGTCAACAGTCTGGAGGCAGAGGCAGGTGAATATCTGAGTTTGAGGCTAGCCTGGTCTGAGAGTGATTTTAAGGACAGCCCGGAGATACACAAAGAAACACTTTCAAAAAAAAAAAAAAATTTAAAAAGACAGACAGCAAATGCCTGCCCAACAGATGTGCCCACAGACCAATATAATGCAGGCCATCCTTCAACTGAGGCTGAAGGATTGTGAAGCTGACAATCAACCATTGCAGGGGCTGGAGAGATGGCTCAGCACTTAACAGCACTTTCTGCTCATATGGAGGACAAGGGTTCAATACTCCGCAATCACATGGTGGCCTGTGAACAATGTCTGCTGGTCCAATGCCCTCTGGCCTCTGCGTTTGACCATCTGTCATGTACCCTGAAAATTAGCATCCTAGCACCTCTTTTTCCCCACTACTCACCTCTTCCCTGGATACAAACCATGTAGGGGTGAGTTGAGTTGGTTTTCCCCACACTCAAGCTCTCCCTACCCTCCCAGCAGAACTCTGGACAGCCACTGCCAGCTACTACCAATCACTGCGCCTGCGCAGGCGGCTGCAGCTGCACCTATTGCCCACCACGCCTGACTTTGAGAGGGGTGAAACATGAGTTTGAGTCACGGGTGGGCAGGAGGTTGGGGGTGAAAAGGCTGAGGACTGGGCAGCTGTTTACTAAAGGAAAAGAGAGATCCCTGTAGCCTTTAGCCAATGAGACATCTCATTCCTAAATCCTGTTGATCAGGGGACCAGAGATTAACCTGGCTTCACCTAGGGTTGAGGGATAGAGAAGGGTAGAGGAGACAAAGTATTCTCTTTTATGTGTTCAAAAAGTTAGGCTGCTGTGTACCATAGCCGGACAATTATCCTCTGACCTGTGTTTAGGCACAGTGGAGACTGCAAAGTCACCAGGATGTAATCCTGCCTTGGGTCATTTATGGTCAGTCCAGTTTGGTTACCTATATCCCACTTCTTATGATGAGCTCACAGCAGAATTGCTTTGAGTCAGTATTTTTATGGCCAAGATGTTCCTTTAGTGGCCATGTGACACTGCTTCTTTCTCTCTTCTCCCCCCTCCTACCTCTCTGTCTTCCCTTTCCTTCCCTCCCCACCCATCCCCTTCTTTCCTGTCTCTATCCCTGCCTCATCTCTCCCCTCCTTCCCCCTTCTGTTTCTCTCTACCCCACTATGGATCTCAGGTGGATTTTTTTTCCTTTTTTGTTGTTGTGTTTAGAGACAAGATTTCTTTGTGTAAAATTCTGGCTGTCCTGGAACTTGATTTTTAGACCAGATTGTCCTTGAACTCAAGAGATCTGCCTCTGCCTCTGCCTCTGCCTCTGCCTCTGCCTCTGCCTCTGCCTCTGCCTCTGCCTCTGCATCCCATGTGCTGGGATGGAAGGCATGGCCTGGCTCATCACCCACTCTTCAAGGGGCTCCCCTAATGGCAATGTCTTTCCCATTAACCTGAAGTTTCCAGGGCTACAGAATGATGTTCTCTGAGGATCTAGTTATGTTCAGTAGACAGAGACTACCGAATTACCACAGCCAAGCTCTTTCAACAGGTGCTTTATTAGAGGACACAGTGTGTAGTGAAGACAACCAGGCAGGCAGGGATGGTGTACAGTAACTGAGGTGAGAAGTCTAACACTTAATGCCTTTGTTCTCCTTGTTGTATGGAGCCTTGGAGAAGCAGATGGCGGCCTCGCGGTCACAGTTGCAGATGAAGGCCTCACAGGGGTTGTTTTTGCCTGCAGAGAAACAAGAAAGGAAGTTGTGTGGAGCCCATGACCCTGTTCTGTACAATTTATAACCAAAAGAAACCGGTGACCCTCCCATTGGTGCAAACTAGGGATTGAGAGACAATGAACACAGGAGTCGATTGGGTTGTCCAAATTGCTGGAACACACTTGTAATAAGAACATTAGTTGTTGTGGGCTGTGAAGATGGCACAGTTGGTAAAGTGGTTGGCATACAATCATGAGGGCCTGACCTAGGATGCCCAGAGACCATGGAAAAAGCAAGGTGTGCTTGGGCATCTGTAACTCTATTAATAAGTGGGGAGCACAGATCCCCATAATTTGTTGGTCAGTCAGGCTAGCTAAAGGTGAGTTTCATGTTTACTGAGAGAGACCCAGGCTCTAAAGACGGGGTGGACAGTGACTGAAGAAAACACGGGATGCCAACTCTTTCCTACACATAAAAATCAATAAATATGGGTATTTAATCCTAAAACCTAGAAAACCACAAATATCATCTATCATTTGTAAAATTATATGATTTAAGACAATCCTCCTGCCTCCACCTCCCAAGTGCTGGGATTAACAGGTGTGCACCACACTGTTCAATTCATGGGATCTGGAGGTGGAACCCAGGGCTCTGTGCATGTTAGGCAAGCACTCTAGCAACTGGGCTATATTCCCAGCCCTCTGAATCCTCATCTGTAAAATGGGAATAATAAACCTTGCCCCGCATAGGTGTTTACTCCAGTATCTGGCTTATAGCCAATGATGCAGCTCTCAATTGCTTAGTCAATATGGAATCAGTATAACACAGCAGCTAACAGGAGAGGCTTTGGGCAGGCAAGATGGCTCAGGGAATAAAGACACTTTCTGCAAAGTCTGAACCCGAGTTTCATCCCAGGACTCACATGGTCAATGGAGAAAACAGGCACATTGTTCTCAGACCTCCGCACCTCTGTTGTGGCACAGAAATGCCTCCCCCAGAAATAAATTAAATCTTGAAATGTTTTTAAAAAGAGAATTTGGAATGATCTGTGTTCCAGAACCAAATGTCACCACTTCTAAGCTGGGTGACCTTGGGCAAGAGGCCCTGCCTTCCTCATCTCCCTCATCAGGGACGCCATCTCTATATTCGGGTATCTAGACATCAAATGAGACCAAGGCAATGCCTGCAAAATGGTGCCTGTCCCTGTCACTTCTGTGTCTTTTTAAAATCCACCCAGGGCCAAGCAGAGTCCAGAGGTCCCGGATGGTAAACCTACCACTGCAGGTGATCTCATTCCCGGAGCACGAGTATGAGTATGTATTGGTGTAGGGGTTGTCTATGAGGAATTTACAGCTATCCAGCTTCTTTGCCCGAGTGTAGCAGTGGTCGTGAGTCTGGCAGCACCTGGAGAGAGGAAGGAGCAGCTGAGGGAGGACTATGGACCCACAGGAGGTCAGTTCTTTTTCAAATCTCTTCGTCTTTCTCACATGTTAGTATTACTAAACATGATGTGCCAGAAGAAATCGTCCTAAGGCCCGAGAATCTGGGATCTCTATTAGCGTATATATTTTTTTAATTTATTTATCTTTTGGTTTTTCAAAATAAGGTTTCTCCTTAACAGGCCTGGCTGTCCAGGAACTCATTCTATATTACCAGGCTGGCCTCAAATTCACAGAGATCCACCCGCATCTGCCTCCTCAGTGCTGGGGTTAAAGGCATGGGGAACCACCGCCCAGCTATTAGGGTA